GGGAGACAGAGGCACGAGGCAGGTGCAGGGATGGCCGAGAGGGTCAGGGGTGACAGAGCCTGAGCGGACAGGACAGGCTGAAGACCAGAATAGACAAGAAAAAAGTTATCACTGCCTTTAGGAACGTCTAAGCCAATGCGGTGTCACCAGGTGGGAGCCTGGTGACAGATCAGAGAGGGAATGTGCTGCTAAGATGCCAGCAACTAAACAAGTTTGTCCACAAAAGACAAGGAAAAGTCTAGAAGGTAGCTAGAAAAGGAGGTGTGGAGAATGTGTGTGTGTGCGTATATGTGTCTGTGTGCGTGTCTTTGTGTGTCTGCCTTTGTGTGTGTGTGTGTACGTGTGTGTCTTTGTGTATCTGCCTCTGTGTGTGTGTGTGTGTGTGTGTGTGTGTGTGTGTGTCTAAAGAGACCCTGCCTGATTGAAGGCAGAGGGAAAGGAGCCTGTGGGAAAAGAGTGAGGAACGAACTGCGGAGTGATGTTCCAGAGTGGTGGGCATCCCTCGTGAGGATTTAGAGCTTGTCAATATGGAAGACCCTGCAGCCCTCACTGTGCAACTTGGAGCACGCTGGAAATATGGCTTTGCCTCTACCCACCCTCACCTCCACCCAGGGCGTCAGCCCAGCTGCTCCTCCGAATCGTGAATTCTCGAACAGCCTGTACCTAGTGGGAATGCTGGCGCACTTCTCCCTCACCTCAACTGCCTGCCCTGTGGCCCTGCAGAGCCTCCTGTAACTGCTCTCCGGGTTCTCCTTGCCTGTATGCCTAGACAGGACATGGCCGATTTATCAAGATGGGAATTGCAACACAGAAAGAGTTTAATTCACGTAGAGCCAGGTGTATGGGAGACTGGAGTTTTATTATTACTCAAATCAGTCTCCCTGAAAATTTGGGGGTTGGCAGTCAGGAAGTAGGGGTAGTGCTGATTGGTCAGGTCGGAGATGAAATCGTAGGGAGTCGAAGCTGTCATCTTGCACTGAGTCAGTTCCCAGGTGGGGGCCACATGACTACATGAGCCAGTTTATTGATCTGGGAGGCGCCAGTTGATGCACCAAGGGCAGGGTCTGAAAAACATCTCAAGCTCCAAGCTTAGATTTTACAATGGTGATGTCATCCTTAGGAGCAACTGGGGAGGTTTAGAACCTTGTAGCCTCCAGCTGCATGACTCTTAAACCGTAATTTCTAATCTTGTGGCTAATTTGTTAGTCCTGCAAAGGTAGTCTAGTTCCCAAGCAAGAAGGGGATTTGTTTTGGGAAAGGGCTGTTATGGTCTTTGTTTCAAAGTTAAACTATAAACCAAGTTCCTCCCAAAGTTAGTTTGGCCTCTGCCCAGGAAAGAACAAGGACAGCTTGGAGGTTAGAAGCAAGAAGGAGTTGGTTAGGTCAGATCTCTTTCACTGTCACAATTTTCTGAGTTATAATTTCTGCAAAGGTGGTTTCACTCCCATTTGCAGATAAAAACCAGCACAGTCCTTTGGGAATCAGAGCTCTGGGGCTTAGGACAGTGGGTGAATCTCAGGTTGCTTATTTGGTGAATGTCTACCTACAACGCCCCCTCCTGGGTTCTTTGTCTTCAACTCCAGTTTGCATTTCAGATACTAAGGAATGGACTGTGTGCTTCCTGCATATTCATGGAGATGGGACTCACGTGACCTCAAAAAACGGACGCATAGTAGATGAGTGCTTCTCCCCCTCCCCTGGGCTCCTCTCTGAGCTCTCTTCTTCGGGACTCCTGTCTCACAGAACCTCCTGGTTGAGGGTGCCATCAAAAGTGAAATGCAAATGTACAGGGATTCTAGAATATGTTGCCATCTGACACAGAGACCAGACTCATTGAAGGTGGGGCACTTCTGTCCTCCTCTCCCTCTCATTTTTCTGCAGAAGGAGGGAACTTTTTGAATTCTTCTTTTTGTTTTTTTCCAGCCAGGGAGGCGATGAGGGAAGATAGGGCCAGGACTTGGTTTCTGTTGGGGTAGCTGGGACTGTGGCTTCAACTGAGGACTGAGGGAGCAGCCATAGCACTGGGCAAGAAGGGCAGAGAGTGCCGGGAAACAAGGGGAGGGGCTAGACTTTGTTCAGAGGGAGATGGGGCCATCCAAGCAGTTGCTTGGCCATGACATGATCTGACCTGTACTCACCTGGACAAGGTGGAAAGCAGGGGAGAATTGCCTGGAGGCTCCCCTGACTGGCCCAGGGAGGGGCAGTGGTGGCTGAGATGGCATTTTGTTGAGATCAGTTGCTGAAGGTCACCTGCCCCAAGAGAAGGTCACCTTGTAGACATCCTCAGGGGAGAACTTCTCTAGAAGACACAGATCTGGTTATGCTACCACATCCCCACCCTCAAAAACTCTATGAATTTTTAAAGTGCTTTTCAAAGTAATTATGTGAAACAAGATTTCTGTTGTCAAGCAATTTTGGGAAACCCTGGGTTGAATAAGTTTAGGGGGTTTCCTTTTTTTCTTTTTCTTTTTTTTTTTTTGAGATGGAGTCTCATTCTGTCACTCAGGCTGGAGTGCAATGGCACGATCTTGGCTCACTACAACCTCTGCCTCCCGGGTTCAAGCCATTCTCCTGCCTCAGCCTCCTGAGTAGCTAAGACTACAGGCACACAGCACCACGCCCAGCTAATTTTTGTATTTTTAGTAGAGATGGGGCCAGGATGGTCTCAATATCCTGACCTCATGATCCACCAGCCTCGACCTCCCAAAGTGCTGGGATTACAGACATGAGCCATCATGCCCGGCCAGGAGGCTTCTTTAGTGTGAGACTTCATAGAGTCTTTAAAGAGCTGATGTGTATTTTGAATGTCCTAGGGACAAGGAAAGATATTATTATTATTACGATTATTTTGAGACAGGGTCTTTCTCTATTGTCCACGCTGGAGTGTGGAGTCCTGATCACGGCTCACTGCTGCCTGGAACTCCTGGGCTCATGTGATCCTCCTGCCTCATCCTCCCAAGTAGCTGGAACTGTAGGCAAGCACCACCACACCCAGCTATTAAAAAATTTTTTTTGTAGGGGTGGGGTCTCACTATGTTGCCCAGGCTAGTCTCAAACTGCTGAGTTCAAACAGTCCTCTCGCCTTGGCCTCTCAAAGTGCTGGGATGACAGGCGTGAGCTACCTCCCATACCAAACCTAGGAGAGATATCATATAGCATTTCTCACAGCATTTACACCACAGAATTTCAAAGACTCCTGTGGGACTGTTGCTCATGAGAACGTATTTTGGAAACCAGCATGTCACAGGAGAAATGGCACAGCATGGCTTTGAAACCTTTTCACATATCCTCTGACAGCATCTCCCCTCAGAACGCCTGCTCTTGCTCAGAACGTGCCCCTGAACCTTACTATGCTGTTCCCTCTGCCAGATAAACCCCAAGCTGTCTTTGATCTAGGAAATCTTGTAGGAATCTGCTCAGGAGTGTGAAAATGGCACCCTCCGGGTTTCCACAGAACTTCCTCCCGCTGAGATGTGACAGCTTGCGCCAAGATGGCCGCTTTTGGGAAAGTGCCACTCTGCTTATCAATTAATCCTTTTTAGTTCCCCTACAGTGTTTGGCACACAGCTGCTGCCTGATCAGTGAAGAAATCAATGAGTACACATGAAAAATGAGGGGTATCAGTGGCACTTTAGGAATCTCTTGCTGTTTCCAGGTGGAAACAGCTCCCCAGTGTCCCTCCCTTTCCACACAGGTGACAGTCTGTTCTAGCAGAGCCTAAGTCCAGCCTGGCTTTATTTTACACACACACATCACACATCAGACCAGGGCTTTGTTTCAATTCTTCACCCCCATCCTGACCTCGAATTCCTTGTCCTCGTAGCCATTCCCTCTGCATGAAAATTTTCTTCAGAAAAGATCTCAAACTCAAGGTGTTCAACGCAGCTTCTGGTTGGCATCTAATGGGTTACCAAAGTGCAGGAAAACTTCTCAGTAGGTTTGCCTTGCCTGTCTTCATTTCCTTTATTAAGCCAGCCAAGAACTTTGGTTTCTCCAACTCAGCCAGGGCTGGAAGTTTCTGTGACTTTCCTCCACCCCTGCTCTCCAGGTGTTTTTGGAGCCAATACATTGTCTAGCAGGGTTGTGAGCAGATCCCGGAGAGAGGGCAGTCACCCTGCTGCTATCAGTTGGTGATTTCTGTGTGAGTCTGAAAGGCTATACCATTCATTATTAGGATGAGAGGAGAGAGAAATTGTTTTCAAGCAAGACATCAGCCTGGCACAGTTTCTAACACATAGCAAATCTTGAATAAATCTTTGTTGAGTGAGGGCAGGACTGTAGAAACAGCCTCCATAGCTCCTCCCCAGGTGGGATGTTTCAGTGTGACTTTGTCAGGTTGTTTGACACTAACTTCATAAACATAAGATATACTTGTGTTCCAGTTTAAAGACATTTCCAAAGTCAAATAGGGATGAGTGTAGATCACTGAACACTTTGAGTAGTTTATCTCCTTGTTGCTCAAAGGAGAGGGGGTCCCTGGACCAGTGACATCAATACCCCCCAGAGCCTGGTAGAAATGCCAGAACCTTCCACCCCACTCTAGACCTACTGAATCCAAATCAGCATTTTAATAGGGTCTTGAGGTCATTCGTAGGGACCACTCTCATCCAGGGGGGTATATAGTTGAGAAAAGACTATACTGAATGCTGTTCATATTTGGTTTTTGTTTTGTAGAGATAGGGTCTCACTATGTTGCCCAGGCTGGTCTTGCACTCCTGGGCTCCAGCGATCCTCCTGATTCAGCCTCCCAAAGTGCTGGGATTACAATGCTGTTGAGTGGAATAAATTTAGTGTTCCAATTCTGGAGATTGTGAGAGCAGATGGATAGATTCACATCCGATGGATAGATTCACATCCAAGTGACAGGCGAAAAAATTATACTAATTAGAGGTTAAGGATAAAAAGACCCATTTAGTAAAATTCAATAAAGTTAAGATTTTTTAAAATGAAAATATTTGAAAAAGATCTCAAATACAAGATTCTTTATTCCATTGTGTTAGATTCCTAGGGCTGCCATAACAAATGACCATGAACCAAGAGCTTCCGATGACAGAAATGGATTGTCTCACAGTTCCGGGGGCTGGAAGACTGAAATCAAGTTGCTGGCAGGGTTGGCTCCTTCTGCAGGATCTGAGGGAGGGTCTGTTCCATGCCCCTCCCCTGGCTTCCGGGTTTGCTGGCAATCCTTGGAGTTCCTTGGCTGATAGACGCATCTCTCTAACCTCTGTCTCCAGCATCACATGGTATTCCCCCTGTGTGTCTCTGTCTTTTGTCATCTTCTTATGAGATACCAGTAACAGTGGATTGAGGGCCTCCCCTGCTCCAGTGTGACCTCATCTAAGAAATTCCATCTGTAATGACGTGATTTCCAAATAAGGTCACATTCTGAGGTTCTGGGAAGGACATGACTTTGGGGATGGGGTGGGCAAGGATGCTACTCAACCCCCTACATCTATCCAACATGAAAAGGATAGTGAGTTTCTGCAATGGTGATCCTGTTGGAGAGATGTCCTGCAGCTCCAGATTCAATCCTCGAGGCAGCGGGTGGCACATGTCACATGCAAGGTGGGTCACAGGCAGGGAAACCTCCATTTCCCATTGCTTGGGTAGAGGAGAGCTTGACGTCATTGAATTCATGTCCTTTGAATGAATCTGGAATAATCAGTCTAAGAACACAAAGGGTGTTGCCCTATTTTTCTTCTTGGGCAAGGGCAATGGCCTTGGTGATGGCTGTCAGTTTGTGAGAACAATGGGTCAAAGCAGCAGCCCAACATCCTGGCTGAGACAGAGACCAAATTGAGAAAGGAGGAAGATCTGTAATTTCTGTAAATGCTAGGTAGCAAAAAAAAAAAAATCTGCACCTGAGAAAGCTAGGGAAAGGGAAGTTCAACATTGTCTGACAGGCCAAGGTGAGGGCCGAAAATTAGAGAAAGAGATGTTCAGAAATGTGATGTGGAGACAAGAGTAGGACCAGGACTAGGTAGTGCTGAGGATGGGGCTGGTCCCCATTTATTTGTTCCCTCAACATTTATTGAAAAGCCTCCCCTGGACAGGAGTTCCGGGCATAAGGCAGTGTCCTGAGAGAGATCATAATCTGTGGAGAGAAGATGGGCACACGCACCCCTAACTCTGAGAGGGGTGTCTGGTTCTCAAGAAGATGTAGGGAGGAGGTTGGACAGATGTCTTCTCTTGGTGTGGAGAGAGCCCACTGCAGCTGGAGCTTGAAGGTAGCTAAGGGCTGAGAAAGCGTCTCCAAGACGGTGCAGGGCTGCCTTGGCTCTCTGGCCTCACCCTGCCCAGGAACAGCCATCCGAGCCTCTGCTGCCTGACTCCAGCTTTTCTGCGAGGGTCTAAAGAAAGACGTTAAGTGGAGGTGGAGAAGGAGGCCGATTCCTGAAAGAAGTCTACCCGGGGCTGCCCGGAAGTCAGGCTCCTTTGACCCAGCTCAGCTTTTTCCATTCCAGAGGTGGAGACCGTTAGACAGGGGCTCTCTTTTTACCTGGCATTAACACCTGCTGGCAAGCGAGTGCTTCAGGACCAAGCGGTGATCTTTCTGGGAGGTCACAGTGTGAATTAGTTATTTTTCTCTGCAGAGACCAGATGTTGTCTGAATTTGAAAAGCCTCGAGGCAGTCCTAATGCAAATGACCGGAACATGTTTCCAATGCGCTCAGAGAAGGAAGCTGCCCCTGCCCACGCGTGGCATTCCCAGTTTGAGGAGCTCAGAAGTTGGTGTGAAGCGACCCGGGTGCCCCCAGCGGCGGGTGGGATTAAGCCAGCCATCCTGTCTGAGGGAGCAGGCCGCGCTGGCCCCGCGTCCCACCAAGGAGATAGGGCTCAGGCACACAGGAAACGCCGACAGGCTGACATTTCAGCCTTTCGGGGAGCTCCTGCAGAGGAAGATAGAGATGTAAAAATGATCCCATTAGCAGTAGAAGATTTCCCACTCTGCTAGATTCAACTCCTTTCTTTGGTTGACCTTTTCTTCAATGAGAAAGCTTGGTTTTCAGAAACCAAGTCATTTTTCACAAGGCCATGGACCGTGGGCTCCCACGGGCAGAGCGGGTCCCCTGCCAGGAGGAGGAGGGGCAGCTGGAGTTGTAACAGACACGGCAGGGTGGAGCTGCAGGCTGCTGCTTTGGCTTCACAGAGGAAGGAAACCTTGCACGCCTTTAAGGGCTTAAAACCCTGCTTGGATTGCATAGGGAAAAAACTCTCCCCATTCAGTCCAGGTGTGTTGACCTTTATAGTTTCTACCAGCCAGTGAAGGAGGCCTGATTTCCTGAATCATATCAGCTACAGAATCCGCATCAGGCCAGCATTACAGACTTCTTTTTTGCCAGTTTGCCTTTGGCCCTATTAAGCAACCATGCCAGCACTCTCTCCCACCGGGCAGGGCTAGTTTCGTGCATGTGCAATTTGTGCACAGGACCTCACACTCAGAAGGGCCCTGTGTTTGGTTTAATGCTCTGTGCTTGTTGTCTTGAAATTCTTAACACTTTTTGAACAAGGAGCCCCTGTTTTCGTTTAGTACTGGGGCCTACATGTCACTGGTCCTGAATGCCAGGCACCCTCTGCCCCTATCCTTTACCTGGGAAATCCCTCAGCTTTGACTCTCAGCTTCAAAGTCTCTTCCACAGGAAGCCCGCATCCGTTGCATGAGTTGTAATGTTGATAATTATAACAACGACATGATCAACATCATTTGACTCTTTACTGTGTTATGCTCTGAGCTACATGGTTTCTATGGATTTTCTCATTTCATCCCTTCAACAACCCTATGGGCATTATTATTAATATTATTATTATTTTTTTTTGAGACGAAGTCTCACTCTGTCGCCAGGCTGGATTGCAGTGGCGCCATCTGGTCTCACTGCAACCTCTGCCTCCTGGGTTCAAATGATTTTCCTGTTTCAGCCTCCTGAGTAACTGGGATGACAGGTGCCCGACACTGCACCCAGCTAATTTTTGTATTTTTAGTAGGGTTGGGGTTTCACCATTATTGGCCAGGATGGTTGTGATTTGTTGACCCTGTGATCCACCCGCCTCAGTGGGCATTATTATTATTCACACTTTGGACATCAGGAAACTGACAGAAACTAAGCCCACCAATTATTGTCCAGGCTCACCAGCCGGCAATGCTTCCCCTGCATTGTATTCATCATATTTCATTGTAATGCTTCAATATCTGTCTTCTTCACTGGACAACATGGGTCAATGTCTTACGTGTTCTCTGTTGAATCCATAGCCTCAAGCACAGTGCTTGGCTAGGTGCACTCTAGAGAAGGGAGGTAGGAAAGTTGCTGTCCCTTCCTCCCATGTGACTTTATTTTTAAAGCACACAGCACGGATACAGGTCAACACAAGAATAGACAAATGAAAATGCATTCTGAACAACCACTAAAATAAAAGCATCCCCACTCTTTTTTTTCAATCATCCTCTATTTGTTGAGTTTCTGCCGTTTCCTAAGCACTGGACTAGGTGTTGGGGTACAGTGGTGAGCAAAGAGTGTTGACCTCTGTCATCACGGAATTTACAGTGACTGGAGAGACAGAAATTAACCATCTCATCCACTCACAGATGTCAGACTGTGTGTGGGACCGTGCCACAAAGAGGAGGTGCACAGTCCAGGAGAGTCTATGACAGGGAGATGTGACTTGGTTGGAAAGGTCAAATGAGCTGAGAATTTAAAGTGAACAAGGGCCGGGCGTGGTGTCTCATGCTTGTGATCCCAGGAGTTTGGGAGGCCGAGGTGGGTGGATCACCTGAGGTGAGGAGTTCAAGACCAGCCTGGCCAACATGGTGAAACCCCAACTTTACTATAAAAAAAATTAGCCAGGTGTGGTGGTGGGTGGCTGTAATCCCAGCTACTCGGGAGACTGAGGCAGGAGAATCACTTGAACCCGGGAAGCAGAGGTTGCAATGAGCTGAGATTGCACCATTGCACTCCATCCTGGGCAACAAGATTGAGACTCCGTCTCAATAAATAAAATAAATAAATAAAGTGAGCAAGACTTATCTAGAAAAAAGAGGAAGGAACATCCCATGCAGGGGGAATAGTGCAAGCAGAAACTTTTGGGAGGAGGGAGCTTGGACACTTCTAATGGCTGAAGAGGTCAATGGGTTGGGAGATGCAGCCAGACAGTGCAGGATCACAGGCAGGTTCAGGAATTTTGTCTTCGTTTTGACAGCAATGGGATTGTAAGCAGGAGATGACATGACTTATGTTTTGTAGAGGTTACTCTGGTGGCAGTGTGGAGAATGCATTGATGGGGAGGGGCTGAGTGGATCCAGCGTAGACCTTATAGATTTATATATGTGCTGCTTCAAAGTGTTTATCCCCATGGGATTCACGTTGAAGGAAAATTCCTTTGACAAAGCTCATCTGTGGTGACAAGGAGGACCCTTGGACATCTCAAGGAGATGCCACTTATTGGGGAGGGTATGTGGCTGGCACTATTTTCACCTGGCCTCCTCCGCACTCTGTGAGGAGCTGTGACTGGATTGAGTGTGTGCATGGGATTTGGGGATTTTCTGGTGACTGGTAGGAAGACCTGCAGAGTCACCGTTCTAGCCACTAAACAAGCTGCAATAGCCTACTACCCTTTGACATTCTGCCCAGAACCCAGGGCACCTTCAACCAGTTTTTTGATGGATCTCTTGTTCATTTGCAGATAGCTGGGGAGACGCAGGGGCTGGGCAGCTGTCCATTCAAGGAGCACACTAACCTACCACAATTGGGACATGAAAACATGGCCGTTTATAATTTAAGTATTTAAATGTCCCAACCAAGAGGAACAACTCCTGAAACTACTCCTGGCCAAGGGGTCAGCATGGACCCTTCTAGAGCCTACTGGGGACAAAGGATCTGCCAGAGACAAAAATTCTTCTTCTCCTGGGGACAAAGTGGGCTGCCAGGGGAGTGAGCTCTGCTGTAGGAGAAAGACTCAGAGGGCTTCACTCTAATCTTGTCTCTTACATCAACTTGCTTTGTTTTCTTGGGGTAGTCTCATGACCTCTTAGCCTGAATTTCTTCAACTGTAAATTGAAGGGTCTAAACAAAATACTTTCTTTTAGTTCCAAAGTTCTGAAATTCTTTATTTAGAAATTCTAGGTGGGATGGGGTGGCTTTCAATCACTAAGAGATCTATGTTTTATCCAAATAGCCCAGCACTGGTCATTGTGGTTATGAGGAGCAGGGCAATAAAATGCTGGTACATTCCAATGGTGAGCAACTGGGACCCTTGGATACTCTAAGGCCTTTGATCTTCACTGTACATGCCAGTGGATCTTTTCCCTTACTTAATTCCACAGTCTTTGTTTTTTTACCCTCACTAATAGTTGTGTCTATCCTGTAGCCATTTTTTTTTTTTTTTTTTGAGACCACTCTGTCGCCCAAGCTGGAGTGCAGTGGCACGATCTCGGCTCACTGCAACCTCCACCTCCGGGGTTCAAGCGATTCTCCTGACTCGCCCTCCCGAGTAGCTGGGACTACAGGTGCGTGCCACCACACCCGGCTGATTTTTTTGTTTGTTTTTTTAGTAGAGACAGGGTTTCACCATGTTAGCCAGGATGGTCTTGATCTACTGACCTCGTGATCCACCTGCCTCGGCCTCCCGAAGTGCTGGGATTACAGGCGTGAGCCACCGCGCCCGACTCTGTGGCCATTCTTACCTAAAACTGAAATTCATATATGTTCCATGCACCATTAGTTTCCCCTTTCAAGTTTTTCTTTTTAAACTGATGAAAGTGTCCTGTTTTTAAAAGCTGTTTCCTTCCACCCAAACTCACAGGTACAAAGGATTTAAAGGCAACTGTTCCATGACCTTCATCGATCAGTTTAAAGCACTACACCAGTGTAACAAGTATTGCAAAATGCTGGGACTGAAATCCCTTCAAAACAATAGCCAGAAACAGAAGAAGCCGAGCACTGGGAAAAGCAAAGTTCAAGCAAACTCTATGACAGTGAAGAAGACAGGGTCTGAGACCCCAGGCGAAAAGAAAACCTAACATCCTCGGTAAACTAATGGCCACTGGCTACCAGCACACAGTCTTGCCAGGGAAAATCTGAGGCCACACAGGAGAGAATACACAGCCTGCAGAGAGTGTGTGGCAATCCTTATTCCCAGCTGCCTGTGCGCCAAATGCCTCTAAACCCGTCACCTGCTGTCTTCACTCAAATTATTTCAGAACAGGATTTGTGACCAGGTTTATGGGGAGATTGAATCGACGATCGGTCTCAAACACAGTCCATTCTTTGTATACACGTTTAGCGTTTTTACCAACCTCAAGTCATGTGTCTATCTGTGTATTTGCACGTGGTTGTGTTGTCAAGGACTTGGTGCTGAGAAGAGTCTGTTCACAGCCAAAATTATTCCCACCCCCATTCCTAACCTGGGATTTCTAGACACATCCTGCTGTGATGTAAACAGAAATCACGAATTCGCTCACTGGGTCAAGTTGTTCCACTGGTGTCTAATATGCTATTGTTGCTGGAGGTGAATTCTGTAACGTGAAGCCTCTTCCCATCATTCACACAGCCACTTACAATTTTCTGTTTAATTAAATTCATATTTAAACAAAAAGTGTACGATGTATGTATCATTATAGATACTTGTTCTTTAGAATGTGTGCCATATTTTACATTGTTCCAGGATTTAGTAATTTCCTAATAGGTTTCCTAGAGCACAAAATATTTGCATCTGTGTTTTTCCCTCATTCTTACATTACAACTTAGGTTCCGTCACTTTCTACTTTGTTCCTTAAACCCGAGCCGCCTAAACCCAGGGCTGACCCGTGGTGGATCGCGCCAGAAGATGCACACTAATCCTGGCGGGGGTGCACCAGTTCACAGGGATCCTGGCATCTCTAACCACTCCCAGCCCTCATTCCACTTGAGTCTCCTGAAGCTCGGAGCCTCCTTCTCTACCAGTTTGGATCATGCCCAGCCATAAAGCAGGATAGTTGCATCAGTGAAATGTGAAATTGGGCAAGAGCACACCATACAATAGCAACTCAGGGATCGCTTTATGTACCCCAAAGTGCTTAAGAATATCTGCTACCCCAACCATTTGTAACAAAAATATTGTTGTTTCATTAATGGGAATGTTAATGGTAATGTTGCTTCATTAATAGACTTTTTCAGAATGGCTTTAAATTTACAAAAAAATGAGCAGAAAGTGTGGAGATTTCCGTTGTGTCTCCTCACCCCACTCTATGACCTTCCCCTGTTGCAAACATCTTGCATTAGTGTGGTATGTTTGTTACAGTTGATGAGATAATATTGATACTTTTTTTTTTTTTTTTTGAGATGGAGTCTCGCTCTGTCGCCCAGGCTGGAGTGCAGTGGGGCGAACTCGGCTCACTGCAACCTCTGCCTCCCGGGTTCAAGCGATTCTCCTGCCTCAGCCTCCCGAGTAACTGGGACTACAGGCACATGCCACCACACCTGGCTAATTTTTATATTTTTAGTAGAGACGGAGTTTCACCATGTTAGCCAGGATAGTCTCGATCTCCTGACCTCAGGTGATCCACCTGCCTCGGCCTCCCAAAGTCCTGGGATTACAGACATGAGCAACCGCGATATGTTGTTATTAAAGTTTATAGTTTACATTAGGGCTCACTCCTGGTGTTGTACATTCTGTGGGTTTGGGCAAATGTATCATGACAGGCATCTACCATTATAGCAACATACAGAATAATTTCACTGCTCTAAAATTCCCCAGTGCTTCACTGATTCATCCCTCCCTTCCCCAACCCCCAACCCCTGGCAGTCACTGATCTTTTCATTATCTTCATAGTTTTGCTTTTTCCTGAATGTCATATAGCTGGAATCATAAATATGTGG